TCAAGTCATCACTCACACGCGCGGCGCCTTCGAGGAAATGATCGAGGAAATAATCGAGAGGGGACCTATACGCGAACAGCTTTCACCGTTGGAGGGCGTTTCTTCGGAAAAGTGATCCTCGAACACGAACGAAAGTGTCGGGGGATCACTGGCGTATTTCCGATTCGTTTCACGCGTGATGCGCGGATAAGCTGAGAGAAAATGCACGCGAGCGTGCGACTACCGGCTGATTCGATATCGCAGGATGTAAATTATCAGGAGATAAGAGAATTCGCGCTGTAACGTACGCGCTATCGATGAATTTTTTTGTGTAAGAAGATGACGGTGGAAAGGTTCGTTGGAATAAAATGGAGGATAGGTAGGTAGGTCAAGGAGTACGTTTATGGTTTCAATTGATGAGTTGATTGAACTCGTTGGGAAAGTGATCCGTGAAAGACTTTTCTCGATCAAGACGTAACGTGAAAAAAGAAAATTTATTATGAATTCGATGAATGGTAATATATCGATATTTAAAATTGTAAATTTAATTAAATCATTAAATCATTGTTCATTTTTATCAAATCTGTAGGAATATTGAAATAATATCTATAGAGAAAAAAAGAGGAGATATCTGGCGAGAAATAATTCTGTTGAACTTATTTTTGTCTGAGAAATCGTACTCGATCGAAATTAAAATAATTAAAATTAATTTTCCTGTTTACACATATACACGTACAATTTCACACAAGATATATCGTTCTCGAAACGAATGGACTGTCTCATAAGTTGTTAAGATTTAAAAAAAAAAAAATGTAAAATAAAACTTTTTGATTTTAAGAAAAATATTATAAATTATTTTCTTGCAAACCAAATAGTTGTGGAAAATATTTTAAGATCAATTTTATTTTTTTAAATATATATATAATTTTGATTATAATAATTAATTTATTTAGACGTAATAAAAAAATAGATTTTTAATAAATTCATCCCTAAATAATAATCATATTGATGCATTTTGATTACTATTAAATATCGCAAAATTTTTATCCCCTGAGATAAAAAAATCCCCCATAGGAGATATCATTTTAAAAATTCATTTGACTCAGTCTTTTATTCTATGAATATTTTATTTTTTTACTGCGTTGCAATAAATTTTCCGCCTTTACGCTCGATTAAATCACTTTCCTATCGGCATTGTCCGGTAATAAAACTTTCTCGAATGTAACAGCCGCTAATGCAACGAGCATCCTTATTTGCTTTCCACACGTTTGACGCTCCGACATCGTTGGCTAAGAGGTGTTTATGAGTTTATTTATCGTTTATTTATCGTATTCGCCTTACAAGGACTACTATTCCAGGTGATTTCCGCAATTTTTTGTTTTGTGAGGAAACGTTCTTTTTTTTCTTTTTTTTTTTCTAACGAATATTAATTTTGTCTCATTGAGAGAAATGAAATTGACTCGAGGGTTCTCTTTAGAAATGCAGAAAGTTTGTTTATATAATTGATTTTATAATCTATAGCCGGATTCGAGACGCAAATCATTCGTAATTCAGTCGTAAAAATAGTTTGCTATTGTTATTTGCAATTATATGAAAAATTTATATAACGAATTTTTGTAACTTTCTTATTTTTAATATAATGAATAGAAATAACTTATGGTCATTGCAGATTATAAAACATTTCTAATTTTATACTTATATTACAATAGATTTTTGATATTTTTTTTATTTTCCATTGAATATAGTTTATTTCCAAAAATAAAATAATTCATTTAATTTGTTTTATTAAAAATGTATTTTTGTATAATTATCAAGAAAAAAGGAAGGTTATTTGCCTGAAGGAGATTGTATCTCAAAAAAAGATTGAGAATCATTAATTCATATAAAGTATTTTTATACATTTAAGAGATAACAAAAATTTTGTATAATATTTAGTAATAATCATAATGTTTTGAATTATTATTTAATCATTTGTCAATCATTTGCTTTATCCTATTTAATTATTTATTAATCATGTATTTAATATTTACTTAAATATTTTTTGATGTTTAATTTAATATTAGTATTCATCAAAATATACAACTAGAGATAGACAAATAGATAATATTTTATAAAAACTTCTTATAAAAAAGTCTTTCTCTTGTTTTTAGAACTATTTATAAAAATAATGTATTGAAATAAATATTTCATATATAAGTTACATATAATAATTAAAGTAATATTATAAAAATATATTTCTAAATATATTTTTAATAAAGGATAATCATAATTACTAAAAAAAAATCTAAAATCCATTATTTTGATTTATTTAATAATTTTTGTAGAATATTTGAATCGCTATATATATCACATAAATTAATTAAAATATACATGTAACTTGAATATGTTTCGAGTAGATTAGGTTAGTCAAGCAGCTCTTATTTTTCAATAATTAAAAAACTAATTTAATTAATCTATTAATTTTCATTAAAAAATTCATAATTAACGAATCTTATCCTCCAAAAATTTTACAAAAATACTTATCTTATCTTCAATAAGTGTCACGAATACACTTTACATTTACACTTTTTCATTTCATTTTGTGCAAAATGATAGATGTTTTAAGTATATTTATACATTCTATATGAAAAGAGAATGATATACGTGTTTTCGTGTAAAAATTTAGGTTAAATTAACTTAGATTAAAATAAATGGAGGAATAAAAAAGAATATTCAAAGATTAAAGACATATTGAAAGACTATATTCACAGTGAATTTTGTTAAATTACACTGATGCAAATACAATTGAGGCCTAATAGACACTCAAGAGATACTAAATAGAAATTTAGAAATATAAGAAATATATAAGTTGGATTGAAATGAAACAATTGCAATGGAATAGATTCATTCGAGCGACTATTAAAACTCATTAAAGAACAATATAAAAATCTAAATAAATGTAACGAAGAAAAATTTGTTTTCTAATTTTCTTGCCGCACAAAATCTAACATATTAGCGTATCTATACTTTTCTATTAATAATTGATGCTTTAACGAATGATACATTGTTCATAAGGATCACTCGTATTGCATATAATGAAATCTAACTATCAACGATATAAAAATCGTAATTTTTCGAAAATCACGACTCCAGGGCGAAAGCAAACGTCATTGTAGCGGCGTCATCAAATCGAAATTATCGTTAGTAAACTGGTCCAGTACTTTCGCGCATTAGCCGCATTTTCTATTTACGGGAAATATCTCTGTTCGTTATTTGCAGTTCCTGTATGAGTGAACTGTCGTCGTTCGGTTAACTAACGCACTCGATTTTTCTACCTGGGACCGAGTTTCTTATCTTGCTTAATTAATCATCGATTGCGATTTCTTCTATTTACGTTTATAGTAGAGATACGATGTAGAAATACTTCGCGTATATAGATGGTTTTTAACCCTTTTACGACATACGCAATTGCGTACGTTATCTTAAATGAAATATTTATGCAAATAGTTAAAATAATTAACAACTTGTGCATATTTCGGATAAATTTAATCAAAATATATAAAAAATTATTCAATAATTAAAATCAACGAACTGTAAATTGAAATTATTTCTTTATTACAGTTTAATATATATAATTATTGTGAATTAAATTACAGGCGATAATTAAAATTATATAATTTTATAAAACGAGCTCATTTCGTTTCGAATTTAGAAATAGAAGTCTGTGTAAGACGGAAGTAATAAAAATCATATTTAATAAAAAAAAGAGAGAGAGAGAGAGAGAGTAATAAACACAACAAACTTTTATTCCGTAATAGGATGTTCTTATTTATACTATATTAATTTTATCTCCTTAAGTAAATACTTAATTGTGAAAGTATAAGTAAATATCAATTAGTCAAACTCTACTGTATCCGACGAGTATATTAATAATTTCAAAAAAAAATAAAATAAAATAAAAATCTCAATAATAAACAACAGTATGATATTTCCAATCTTTTTAAATTACGACTTCCTTTTATAATATTCAATTAACTCGCAACTCTTTTCTAACATGAGTAAAGAAAATAATAAAAATTAACATTGTTTTATCGCCACAAAATAATTGCTTTTGAATAAATAAACGCGGAAAGTTATTAATTAGAAGTAACAATAGCTATATCTATAAAAGAATTCACAATTCTTATGGTCGCAATGCACAGATAGGATTATAATAGGATTGACTACAATATTATATCATTGTTCTATTACATTATTCCGAAGTAATCATTTCTTTCATAACTGATCTAATCCTTTCTTTAAAAATAAATCAAGATCTACCTTTATATAAAATTCTATACCTAACTTTTTTTAACATTAAAAGTAGAAATTCATTATATATATATATATAGTATATTCATTCACGTATTCATTCATCGTTAGTTTATAACAGTTTTTTGAAAAAATAAATTAAAATCCAACTTTAATTATAATTATAGAATGCAATTACTTAAAAGAAGGAAAAAAAAAAAGAGAAACACTTAGATTCCTCACCTGAGGAATTATCTGTCCCCAATTAATCTCGATTTTTGGTATCCTCTATTTGCTTTGTTTGCCCACCACACAAGACTCTTTTCTATAATGATCTGTATATAAATAGCGCGCGTAAATCACACGAAGAGGTAAGAAGGCTATGTCGAGAGGAATAAGAAACGATAACGATTTCAAGAATTAACAGGGATTTAGCTCGAGCAATCGTTTCTCGATTCTCACCATGCCAGATCGATCTCTCTTTCTTCCAGTGTTCAGTTTCAGTTATCGTTTCATAGATCAGTCAAGCAAGGACGAGGGATAGATCCAACGATTACTCGCTCGCTAACCAGTCTCGGATCTCTCCCGATCCTCGAGGAGAGACTGACGAATCGATTTCATTATCGTTGGAAAGCGAGATCGTACATCTTCCCTTTTTCGCAAGACCCTGTAGACCGAGGCTAGTGATACGGATATTCAGGAATATCATTCATCAAGTCGAGTAATCTCGTTCTCTGTCCTGTTTGTTACAGATTTCCTGTATCGGCACAGCGTTACCATCGATAATGTTAGTACCGAAGTCGAGATACTGGACACTTCCAGGTGCGAGGTAAGTTCTTTTAAATGATCGAGAAGAAAAGTTTTTGGAATAGAGTTTGGTTGTTTTTTTTTTAAGTTTTGATTTTTAAATCATGAGATCATCGGAGAGAATTTTGTAAGAAGTGATTAACTTTATTAATTTTTTAGATTAGCTGTGAGAAAATTAAATTTAAATTTGATATTTTTTAAAATATTTTTATTTATTTTAAGAGTTTAGCACGAAGGAAAATATTATAAGAAATATTAATTGATTTTTAGATGATAAAAATTTTTGAATTATTTTGACTAATCGATTAGAGAAATAATAATATTATGAAATTGAAATTTATATAGAAACTTGTTATGTCTTCAATCTCGGTTTAAAAATCAATATTAAATTGCTTTACGTTAAATAAATAAAATTTGAAAAAAAAGTTATAAGTTTGGAAAGAATATTACAAAAAATAAGAATTAATTTTAATTAAGATTTTAAATTTAAAAAATTTTTAAACAGTTAATTATAAAAAAAAATATTAAATTTAAAATATTTTATCATATATCATATTTTACTCCTAGTTGTCACAAATCTTCAATTAAAGCTCCCATAATCCATTGCCACTTTTGCAATGGAAAAAGGACAGAAAATTAATATATATATATATATATATATATAGTTATTATCCACGCGTAATCTTTCTTTGACACGTAAAACAATAATATCTCCGTATGTCTATAGTAGTATCTTTTCTAACTACTAGATGTATCGTACAAAAGCGTTTAACGAATGAAATTCTTCGTAACACCAATCGCAAATTATCATTCAAAATTTTTTCCCTCTGTGTTCATTAAGGAAAAGGAGTGCCTAATGATCCCAAGGGATTATTGATGAATACACGACATAGATTGGCGTTAAAATCTCACTCGGACGAGAGCGGTGAAATTGTACATTTACGGGTGTATGTTTATTTGACAGACTGATTTGCCCGCTTGAGTTATGCCTAGCCTCATGGTCAGTTGTAAATTATTATACGGTTACAACAGGATCGTCGGTCTTTAATCTCCGTTTTATTCTATTTTCCGTCAGGAATTGACAGATTTTACGATTGGTTCGTAAAGTCAGCTATGTTTTTGTGATGATTTTATATTTTATATTGCTAAATCTTTCATCGATGTTTTATTTCTCATTTATATATTTCTCATTGATAATTATTATGATCGAAATAATAAAATTCTTTACCGATAGATTGCGAATATTTAATATTCTGTCTATTTCATATGTTTTATATATTTTTCTAAAATATATAAAATTTCATTTATCATTCTAAAATTTTTGATTATAACATTAAAAGTTGAAAATATTCTAAATAATTTATATATGGGAATATTAGAATAATATTCAATATATTGATTTTGAAACAATGAAAATATTACACGATATGTTTGTGAAATAATTTCTTTTTCAACTCAATATTTTCTCAAATAAATAGCAAATAAATTTACCATAAAATCATGAGAAAAGCTTTATATAATATTAGTTTTATTTTGCAAAATCTTGCAAATATTATATAGTTTGACATATTTTAATATATATTTTTATATGATTAATAACCTATTTGAATATTTGAATTTATTTAGTTGCATAAAAATTTACAGTCTATAATTAGTTAATATATAATAGTGTCTTATTTGAATAAAATTTTAAATAAAGACAATGAAGACTCAGAGTAAATAAGAAATAAATGACTTAGAGATAAAAATGCTATAATTGATACAATCAATTGAGAATATATCTTATAAAATTGTATAATAATAAATTGTTACAAAAAACAATTATTTTGTTTTATATAAAATTTTATAAGTTGATATATAGTAAAATATAATAAAATCAATTTTTAAAATATAATTTTATAATAGTATGATTAATTAAATAATAAAATGTTCAAGCTTTCATGCTTTATTATTTTATTATAATATTTATAGATAAAATTAAAAAAATATTTAAAAAATAAAAGAATAATAAAAATAAGAATTGATTTCATACAAGAGATTGAAAAAAAATTATTATAATCTACAATTACGTTTAACGTATACATAAAGTTTTATTAAAATTACGATTTTTGTCTTATAAAATTTTTTATATTAATTAATTTAAATTTAATGATTAATTAACAAAATTTTGATTAAGAAATATCTTCATACTGACTAAATGACTTTCATTAAACTTTATGGTCTTCTAATGACCATTTAAAATCAGTATAACAAAATTTTTTTTCATTTAAATTTTAATTCAAAATTAGAAAAAAAATGAATTGAATAAATTACTTTTAAATATAAATACATAATAGATTGGTACATATTAAATATTGTTTTTTCAAATTTATAAGTAAAATTTATATAAGTTTTATATTTGTAATTTTACTATACAATAATGAAAATGAACATTTCATATTTTGAAATAAAAAATTCTAACATGCCATCAGAGATAAATAGTTTTAATAGATAAAATTGCTACAACAATAATTATAATGAAAGTATATTTTATATATGAAATTTGATTATAAATAATTTAAAAAAGATCTGCAACAATCTGTAATTAATAATTTACTAAGAATGTTCAATAAAAAGATAGATCTTCTTTCTTTTTTTCGAAATCTTCTTGTTTATAATGAAATTAAACAATTTTTTACTTCTTATTCCACCTTACATCTTTATTCTTAAATAACGTAAAAGGCAAAATCAACTTTAATTCTCAATTAACTTTAATTCTCAATTTAATCTTTCAAAGAAGAGCTAGCATAATGAATAACAGATGACTGATGATCGTTGTCGATCAAGCTTTGACCAAGATTAATAAAAATCTATATTCTTTGCTCGAAAGTTTGTCTTGATATAGAAATACAGAAATACAGAATAAACGCATTTCTTTCCGCGCTTAAATTTTCTTTCGCATTTTTTTCCGACGTTGCATGGCATCGGCGTCTTTTATTACATATATCTTCCGCTTGTAAACACAACTGTTTCAGTTCGAACTGCATTCGCGGATCAAACGGTGAAGAACATAAATTTTTCCTCGTTCATTGACTATTTTTCTCTTCTTCTTTCTTTCTGCCAGAGAGTCGTTAGATCCTTCGTCATGTTCATTGTGAAAGTCACGATGAATGATTTGCTCGCTGGATAAAGTCGAAGAGGTTAGACTTTTCATTTAGAACAAGCTTTTTGCTCATTCTGAAATTTACCGGAAGAAACAGAGCACTTCTTTTCTTGATGAAATTGGTTGGTATCTCTCACGTTTCTCTTTTTAAGAAAAAGTTTTATTGAAGATGGAAAGAGTTGGCGATTGATTACTGCAGTTTTCAGATGATTAAAAATTGTAGTAAATAAATGGAACGGAGATTGAAAAATTTATTTATTTTTTCTACTTAGTTACTGAAATTTGAAATTTTTGGCATTAAATTTGCCCAAAAAATTCTGATTTGATGTTATTATTGATCACTAAAAAAACTTTTATTTATTTTATAGATGATAGTGATAATAATTTTGAATTTTAAATTTTAAATTTTGAAAATCTCATTAGCACGACTCTTTCAGTTGATTCAATACATAAAGTAATTTTTAAATAAAATAATAATAATAATAATAATAATAATAATAATAATAATAAATAATTAAAATAAAATTAATATTAAGTTAATATTAAAACATATAATATATAATATTATTTATGCTATTTCTTTTTATTTAATTTTATAATTTTAATTTATATTATATTATAAAAAATCATTATCATTTTTAAGAAAACAATTTCTTATTTACTAATGTTAATTAATACCAATAATATCGTCATTAATTTTTTGTTATCCTACAGATTTAATATTTCTATTTTACAAAAACGTTTCTCCATACATTTACAATTTCATCCATGCAATTACCAAAAAAATATATATATAAATAAAATATTTAATATACAAATTTATTATCCTATTTCAATTGCATTCAAGAATCTCCAGTTACTACTCAACTAGACATTATTTTATCTTATAATGCTATCTTTACTTCATTTTAATATTATATAGCTTATATTACAATTTTTCACTTTTCAAAATGGTAGTCAACCATTTTTTGAATTATTCTTCATACTAGGAAGAAAATTATTAATTTATGAAGATTTAAAAATTTTTCCATATATATTATTATTATATTATACATAACGTCAATATTTATATTTATAAAATATCTCGTTCCAATTATATCCAACCATCCCTTCAGACATGACGCTCAGCAACGTGATCTTCTAATAAGCTTAATGATTCGTGCACAGTTTTTGAACCGATTGCTCGATTCGCGATCACAATAATTTACAATCTCGAGAACAATGGCCCCTCTCTTAAACCTCCTCTTAAACAGAAAAAGATCCGGTGGAATCTCAATGAGGATTCCGCTCTACCTGCGACAGGTGAACACGCCGTTCCATGGACGTGGTCGGAGTCACTCCACTTCTCCATCGGTATATACACGTGGCCTATGTACTCTCTCGCGCGCGCCAACTTGTATAGACGGAATCGCCTAGATTCGAATTTAAAGGCGATCGTTATTCAATTCAAATACTAAAGCTAACGGGCCTTGTCGTAGGATTTCCGCCTCGATGTGTTTCGCGTGCGGGTTTGTTACTGTATTCTAGAAGAAGAATCGGGTTAAGGAAGGTCAGGTCTGGGATCCGATCGACCTGAAACTGTGGCCGATTCCGTCCAGATTTGGGTTAAGTAAGGTCAGGCTTTAGATTCGAACGAACAAAAACGAATCGTCCGATCCGAAAGAATTGCGTCGCCGATCACATTTGGGACGTTGCGGTATGTTTCTAATTCGAATATTCCAACAAAAGTGTTGGAGATGATTTTGTTTTGTTTTTGCTTTTTTTTTTACACTGTTTTCATCGAACTTTCTTCGTTATTTTTTTTTTTTTTTTTTTTGGATGATTGAAGGTGATATAATAAAATTTATTTTTTCTTATATATATATATATATATTTTTGAA